ATTGATGTTTTCTTACGAAGTCCATTTTATCTAAAATTTTAGGTTTATTGATATTAGGTATATTACAGTATAATTGAAAGTTTTCTTTGCATAACTAGTTTTATATTAATATATACACATATACACACGAATGAGAAGGGAAAAGAGCCTCTTGCAACTACTCAACTTCAGTGTTGGGAAACAACTATGTACAATAGGTAAAAGAAAGAACATGGCGATATTGCAATAAACTTTAACTTCTGGACTCTGATTTTTAGATTTCTTATAATTTTCATGTATCATAAAATTTTTCTTTTGGTTATTTTCAGCCATTTAAAAATATAAAATCCATTTTTAGTGTACAGGCCATACAAAAATAGATGGGGAACTGGATTTGCCAACTTCTGTTCTACCTGATTTTTCTATTTCAGAAAGACATAATAAAATTTTCACTCTAATTGTGGATTCATTTATTTCCCCATTTATTTTTAATAACTTTCCTTCATATGAGATATACTACTAAATGTATAAGGTTTTATGATTATTTTATCTTCTTGGCATATTTTACTTTTTACCAATATAAAACTTTCTCATTTTCATTGAATGCTTTTTTGGGGAAAGGAGGATGAATTTTATGATTTCCAAAAATGATATTACCACTCCTGCTTCTATTTTGTTCATGCTAACCAGTGTTGTGTAAGATAGTGTGAAATCCACAATAATTCCTGATACAAAAGAAAACATTAACTTTTATATTGGGCTTGATATTCAGTAACTTTTAGCTTGAAAGTTTTAAGGCAATTGCACTTGGTTACCTTCCTTTTTCTGCATGTTAATATTGGGGTATTTTTGCAATTTTTTTCATTGTTGTTCAGTTAAAATTGTTCTGCCTTTTTTTCCATTGCTCTCTCCTGCCCTGTTCCATTCCATTCCCACAGTCAGTAACCCCACCCCCTACCCCTGTCCGTGCCCAAGAGTCCTCTATTCGTGTTCCTTGGCTTGCTCCTTTCCCTTTCCCCTGTTATCTCCCTCCGTCCTCCCCTCTGGACACTGTCAGGTGGTTCTTTATTTCCAAGTTTCTGGTTCTGTTTTGCTCACTTGTTTGTTTTATTCATTAGGTTCCACGTATAGGTGAGATCAAATGGTATTTGTCTTTCACCTCCTGGCTTATTTCACTTAGCGTAATGCTCTCCAGTTCCGCCCATGCTGTCCTGAAGGGAAGGAGCTCCTTCTGTCTTTCTGCTGCGTAGTATTCCATTGTGTAAATGTACCACATGTTAATGTTCCAAAGCTAAGATAGTGCTATCTAGAAGTGTGAAGTGTGCACCAGTGTGTACTCAAAGTTCCTATTGTGTCACTCTCAGAGGGAAAAGGCAGCCTTCCTCTGCTCCCATCTGCTTCTGAGTACAGTCCTTGGAACCAAATAGGTACTTGGTACTAGTAAGATTTTGTAAGTTCTCTTCAGCCTACCAAATGTTTAATTAAGAGGAGGCAGTTTCTATTTTATAAATTAGTGGGAGGAAACCTTTAATATTTGCTGAAACATTACATTGGCAGTGTTTAAAGAATAATCTCTGTGAGACTTTAATGTGGAAATGTGAGGTGAGAACCATCTTGAACATAATCTAATTCCATTCTCACCCTTCAAATCTTGTGTTAGAACTTCCAAAAGATAAATAGTTTCAGGGTAGGTAACTTGTCTTTTTTCTGCGTATAGTACAGAACAATCCTGTGCTATTTCTGTGAGATTCTTTAAGCCTTGTCAAGACTGGAGCCTGAACTTCTATGAATCATAATAAAAATGAATTTTCTTCAGTAGTTCCTTTTCTGTATGTCTCTAATAGTGCAGCATTGTTTGTATTGTAAGCAAAATCATAAAGGTACAGTAGCTGCTTTATTGTTTGAGACTTTGCAATATGATTTTCAAAAATCTTCCTTTAGGTACTTCAAATTGTATTCTATAACTTCATTTAAGGTCGCCTACACTATGGCCTCATTATAAAAGCTGTAGAAGGTAAAATGTCTTCATAATTGTTGTTTTTAGTGATATACAGATATAAACAGGTATTTAAAATTATTTTTAAGTTCACCTGCAGCATTTAGTTGTTTGTTAGGTTTCATTCTCTTTTTTAAACTACTTTTATGAATTAGTGTTGAAGTTTAGTAAGGAAGATAATTATGCTGCTGATTGGGTGATTCTTTGTATTTGTATCTTAATTACAAGGGAAGAGTTTTTGTTTTTTCTTTTAATTCTTGTTGCCAAATTTCATAGTTCAATTTTTATTTTGTTTTAGATCAAGGGGGCTCAAGTCAGTAGAACACATTCTCATATTTTGTTTTACAAATAGTTTTTGAAGTATCTGGCAAGTTCTTTAGTGATCCATCCTCCCAGTGGTTGAAGTGCTATAATCCAAGTGGTAGTATCATTTGCTTTTTTCCTGCAGACGTATTTCTATACTGTGTACTCCCTCATTCTTGATACCCAAACAAGAAAAGGCTTTTCTTTAGGAAGTTTCTAGCATGGAAAAATTTTTTAGCAGTTTTTTATGGAGAGTAGAATAGTTAATGTCTTAAGATCATTGTCTGTTGCTTAGGTGCTGGTGTTACTGAAATAGTCACAAGATGTATGAGGCAAAACATAGCTTCAGATATTATAGTATAGGTCATTCCTGAAATGGAGGAGCCTTTTTAGATCTTTGGAAGAAGAGACCATAGATCCTTAAGCCACCTTACAAGTTTTTTATTAGGTGTGATAAGAATATACAAAACCAATACTTAAAATACCTCTGTCAACTCAGTGTATAAATAAAATATATATTTACTTTTAGTCTCCAAATAAATGACATATTTAGTATTATAAATTATAGTGCAATTGTTTTAGCGAATGGTTCTGGTAACTTCCAGATTTTATGTTAAGTCTTAGAATTAGTGATATGATCTCTTGTTTTGCTTAGCTTCTATCCTTTTAATTCCTATTTGAGCAACAGTTTGACAGAAAAACTTCCTGAAATGATTTACCCATGAAATTGTTGATAGTCATTAAGTAACATGGCATTGCAATTAAGTAGAGACTTTCTCTTAATATCAACATTATTTATGGTGCCGAATCTTCTCTTAGTAGTTAGTTTCAAAATTTTTTTCCAGCCCTTGTGATGGTGTGAACTTTGTAATACCTTCTTAGTTAATGAGGCTACAGCAGAATTAGTGTTACAAAGTGGGGTTTTTTTTTGGGTTGGCGGGGACTGCCTGGGTTTGGATCCTAGCTTTTCCAACTAAATATATGCCAGTGGTCGTGTTGCAATGGGAGAATTTTGTGGAGCCGACTAATGTAGGAGTCAACCAAAGAGAAAGGATTCCATTTATGGATGGAACAGGATCCTGAGAGGGCCCTTTTGTGTGTGCCAACAACTGGAAGTAACTCTGTTTTTTCTATGTTGGAGAGTCCTGAAGAGTGGCTTGGGTGGTGGAGAGGACATTCAGGGGATTGGGGCTGTAGCTCGTTACCAATTACAGTGAAAGTATTTCAGGATGGTAACAACGAACATGATTTGTATTGGGACATACTGGCTGAATATAGCCTGGATTGTATATTAGGCAGGGAAAGAATGAAATTCAAGGTAGGATATCTGATTAATCTGTCCCTATAACAGCTATGTGTCAGCTATACTCCAGATATCTGCCCATCTCGTAGTTTTGTACTGTTATCACCTAGTTTCTTTCCTTCTTAGTCTGTTCATTTTTTCCTGTCTTTTTCCTGACTGAAACATCCTGTCCTAGTATTACTTGACAGTCCTATTAATTTAAAGGGTTAATCTATGGCTAGTTGATCTCACAGAATTAGTGATTTATTCAGAACTAGGTCTTGTCAGTAGCATCTTTGGAAAAACAAAGGATAAAAATATCTCTTAACATTTGAATTCTTTTGAGGTTTCTTTGTGGTGTTTATATATAGCATCGTTTAGCTTGTCAAGGAATTTACGTTCCTACTTGATTTACCAATGTATAAGTTTCCTGGAGTTACCATAACAAAGAACACAAACCAGGTAACTTAAACAACAGAAATTTATTGTCTCACAGTTCTGGAGATTTGAAGTCTAAAATCATGGTGTCAGTAGAGTTGGTTCTAGGTCAAGTCTCCAGTACTTTTCTGGCAGCCTTTTGTTTTCCTTGGTTCATGCATACCTCACTCCAATCTCTGCTTTCATCTTCATGTGATGAAAATGTCTCTCCCCTGTGTGCAAGTCTGTGTTCAAATTTCCCCATTTCATGGTACATTAGTCATAGTGGATCAGGGCCCACCCAAATAGCTTCATGTTAACTTGACTGTATCTGCAAAGACAAAATTTCCAAATAAGTCACATTCTGAGATGGGGGTTAGGACTTCAACGTATCTTTTGAGGGGCACAGTTCAACCTGTTAACACCAGTATTAAATTTTTGTTTCAGTGGTAGAAGTTGGAGGATAGCCGTTGTATTGGTTTTTATTGTTAATACATAATACAGAAATATATCAAAAAAATTTTACATTCTAGGTGTATTTTTTTCTAAATGATACATTTACACTGGAGACTGACTAATAGTCATCTGGCTTATCTGCTAACTAGTCATATTTTTTATGGGTATATTTACCATTTTGTTAAAACATTTTAGCTTTTAAAATTTTAATTAAATGATATTGTGATAAATGACAGTTTGAACTCTGAATGCTACGTATTCTGTTTTTATTTCCTTTTGGAAACCCTTCTGGTAATGTTTGTCCCGTCTAGCCATTATATACATTCTTTTATTGTACTCCTTTTTCGGAAATGATTAAACTCTTAATTAGACTTGTATATTTACTTTGGAACTTCCTTGAAGTTTTTTGTTATGTTGTATTCACAAGTGTGATTTCAGATAGTCTTAAAAATATCAAAGGCAGAGTTCTTTTTTTTTTAATGAAAATCATTGGGAAAATGTTAAATGATATATAAATATTTCCTGTAGACACTTTTAGAATACTAAGAGTTAAGCATGTTTGTGCAGGTTTTGACTGGATCATCTCGTCAAAGTTATTCACCCTCTGGCTATCAGGATTTCACGAAGTGGGAATCAGTGCTGAAAATAAAAGAAGGACTACTGAGGCAGAAAGAAATTGTAATTGATCGGTGAGTCTATCTATTTTTTTTAATTGCTAAATATTTCAAGCATACAGAAATGTAGATTTTAAGAAATACCTTTGTATCTATCATATAGACTTTAAAAATTAGAACCTTGTACGTACATTGATTTCTCATGTCTGCCCTCCCCCAATCCCAGTCCCTTTAAGAACCATCCTCAAAACTGGGTTGGTTGGTGGGTCAGCCTGTCTTTCTTCTACCGTCCTCCCATTTACATTAGAGTAATTCATTATTTGGAAGCTTCTCTTCATCTTCTTACACTTAGGAAATATCAAATTGCAAAGCTACTTTAAAGTAATTTTTTAACGAATCTATGTTAGATATGAAAGAACAGAAACTATGAAAATCATGAATGTTTGAAATTAAATGATTTACAGATAAGAATCTTGGATATCTGGGGGGACATTCCACATATTTTGCATGGTTTGAGTACCAAAGCTCTGAAAAAAAGGTTGTGCAATGCCTAATAACAGTTTTATGATTATTTTGAACAGTAAAGCTGATATTACTTAATTATATTATCTATGATACATATTGACTCTTTATCATTTATACATACTTTTGAGATAATTAAACATGTTCTGTATTATGGTAATTGGGAAATATATTGAGATGGAATTTAATCAATACTAGTTACTCTCATTTTCTTGTGCTTATTTGGGATAAAGAAGTAGACATTTTAGCCTTAAAATTAACCCCTAATTCAAATGTTTAAATATATATGAGAGTTGAAATTTTAAAAGATTTTGCTTAGAAAGTGAAGACCTACCTGAGTAGGAGCACATAGGCATTTTGGCTTTCTTATTGTCTACTGTTTTCTCTACTGTCTTGAAAAGAGCCTGACACATAGTATATGCTTAATGCTTGATACTTCCATACTTCATAATGAAAGAAAATTGTAGAAGGTAGTTTTAATGGATTTTATGAAAAGAGTTTTAGAAATTTTTGTTATTTCTAATGTAAGTGAATTTTGTTTATGAATAATTACAGATCCAGTTGGGTATACATTTTGAACACATAATTGTATGTTCTTGAAATTAATACTTTTTATTTATTAAAATTTATTTTTTACTTATAGTTGACATACAATAACATACTAGTTTCAGGTATACAACATAGTAGTTAGACATTTATATGCTTTACAAAGTGATCACTCCCACCAGTCTAGCACCCATCTGGCACCGTACACAGTTATTATAATATTATTGATGCTGTTCCCTGTACAGCACGTTTTAAGAGCAGATCAAAATTCAGAGTTGTATTAATAGAATATACTCTTCAATCACAATCAGTTGACTTTTATTATTTTTTTGAACATTACTATGATTACTATTTTGAGGGGTGTAAGTTAATAGGTGTTTTAGTCCATTTGGGCTGCTGTAACAAAATGCCATAGACCAGGTAGCTTCTAAAGAACACAATTCTGTCTCTCTCAGTTATGGAGGCTGGGAAGTCTAAGATCAAGTCACTGGCAGATTCACTGTCTGGTGAGAGCCACCTTCCTGGTTCATTGATGGCCATTTTCTTCCTGTGATGTTACATCATGAAAGGGGCCAGGGAGCTCTCTGGGGCCTCTACTAATTGCATTCATGAAGCCCCTGCCCTTATGACCTAATTACCTCCTCACACCATCACATTGGGCATTAGGATTTAGTGTATGAATTTTGGGGGAGACACGAACATTCATTTTATGGCAGTAGGAAATGCAGATAGTCATTGTTATAACTATTAAAATATATCTTTCAATTCTGTTTATTGTAGGACATCAAGGAAATAATCTAAAGTCATTCAAGTTGCTCAGTTTCCTATTAGGAATTTTAAGATTGATAATACTTTTACCTCTTATATCAAATTATTAGAATAATAGTTCTGCTCTTAACTATTCTTAGAAAAGTGTATTTTTTATAATGTGACTTAAATTTATATTTTGCAGGCAGAAGCAACAAATTACCCACCTACACGAGCGAATAAGGGATAATGAATTACGGGCACAACATGCCATGTTAGGACACTATGTGAATTGTGGGGATTCTTATATGTCTAGTTTGCAGGTAAGATTACAGAGGATTTTATAGTTGTTTTATTAATAAAGGGTGTGTTAATTTTATACTTAGCATCTAAGATTAGGACTTTTTCTGAATTAACAACCTTTTCACATGGTTTATATTTATATATGTAGTGAAAGACATCCAGGTACTGTCTTCTGTCCAGTTCACAACTCCCACATATACAGAAACTACTGTCACCAATTTCTAGTATATCCTTTCTGAGTTCGTGTGTATCACTAGCAGATGTAAGTGTATTTTATCCCCCCAACTTTAACAAAAAGTATCAAAATACATATATTATTTGGCATCTAGCTTTTTTCCTTTATCTTATATAAAAAACAGCAATTGTTTCTGTATCATCACATAGCATCCTTTTTTTTCTTTTACAACTGCTTGATTTCTCATTTTATGGAGATAGCATAATTTAGTCAATCTGTTCCTGCTCATCAAAATTTGTTTGGGGATATTATAAATAATGTTATGAAGGATAATCACTTATAAACATTGTTTTGCTCCTTTGTATTTTTTTTGTAAGTTAAATTCTCAGAAGTGAAATATCCAGGTGTTGTATGAATTGGTCATTTTTATTGATATTTTCAAATTGCTATCCAGAGAGCTTATTCTGATTTTTAGCTCCTACCAGTAGTAAATAAGACTCCCCTCCCCCCCAACTCATAGCTGTATTAACAGAGAGTTCTCAAACTTTAGAGATTTTTGCCTTTCTAATAGGTTTATATGAAGTAGGGCAGCGGAGGAGTTAATCTCCATGGAGGTTTTCTTTTTCATTTTTTTGTGTTAAAATACATGTAAAACATCATCTTTGATCTTACCCATTTTTAAGTGTACAGTTCATTGGTGGTAAGTACATTCATAATACTGTGCACCATCATCCATCTCCATAGCACTTTTCATTTTATAAATACTGAAACTGTACCCATTAAGCAGTACCTTCTTATTCTTCTCCCCAGTCCGTGACAATCACCATCTGCTTTCTCCTTCTAAGTATCTCATGTTTAGTGGAATCATACAATTTATTTGTCTTTTTGTGACTGGCTCATTTCACTTAGCATAATGTCCTCATAATTCATTCATATTTAAAGCATGTGTCAGAATTTTCTTTTTTAAGGCTGAATAATATTCTGTTGAATGCAGTATGTACCACATTTTGCTTAATCCATCCATGACAATGGGAACTTGGTTTGCTTTTGTATTTTAGCTACAGTGAATAATGTTGCCATGAACATATTTTATATTATTTATTTGACCATGGCTGTACACATATCTGAGACCCTGTTTCCAGATCTTTTGAGCATATAGCCAGATATGTAATTGATAAATCATATGGTAATTCTATTTTTAATTTTTTGAGGAACTGTTACAGTGTTTTCCACAGTGGCTCTATCATCATACATTCCCACCAACAGTGTGCAAGGATTCATTTTCTTCCCATTTTTGCCAACACTTGTTATTTTCTACTTTTTTGATAATAGCCATCCTAATAGAAGTGAGGTGATATCTGATTGTAGTTTTGCTTTTCATTTCCCTAATGATAGTGATACTAAGTATCTTTTCATGTGCTATTGGTCAGTTTTTTATACAGGCCACCTTGGAAGTCCTCCAAGTTTGATTCCAGACCACCACAATAAAGTGAATACTGCAATAAAGCGAGTTACATGATTTTTTTTTGGTTTCCCAGTGAATATAAAAGTTATGTTTACACCATACTGTAGTCTCTTACATGTGTAGTAACATTATGTCTGCAAAAGCAATACACATACCTTAATTAAAAAAATACTTCATTGCTGAAAAATGCTAATCTTCGATGAAGGATTGCCATAAGCCTTCATTTTGTAAGAAAGGCAGTGGCTGCCAAGTGCAATAATGAGAAGCACAGTTAAATAAGATATGCCTATATCGTCTTTGGAGAAATGTCTACTCAAGGCCTCTGCCCATTTTTAAATTTGGGTTTTTTGTTATTGTTGTAGTTAAGATTCAGAAGTTCTCTATATATTCTGGATATTAATCCTTTTTCAGATATACAATTTGCAAATATTTTTTTCCGTCCTGAGTTGCCTTTTTACTCTGTGGATAGTGTATTTTCATGTACAAAATAGTCTAATTTTTATAAAGTCTAATTAGTCTACTTTTTTTTTGTTCCTGTGCTTTTGGTGTCATAGTCAAGAAATTATTGCCAAATCCAGTGTCATGAAGCTTTTGCCATATATTTTCTTCTAAGAGTTTTACAGTTTTAGGTCTCACATTTATATCTTTGATACATTTTGAGTTAATTTTTATATTATGGTAGGTAAGGGTTCAACTTCATTTTTTCACATGTGGATAATCCAGTTTTCCCAGAACCATTTGTTGAAAAGACTGTCTCTTCCCCATTGACTGGTCTAGGCACCTTGTCTAAAATCATTTGACCATATATGCAAGAGTTTATTTCTGATAATGGTATTTTAATAGAACCATGCAGTGTCTCCTTGTAATTTTATTATTCTGAATAAAGGTTTTGCTTGAAGTATATCATCATTATTATATTTTCAAAAGCATGTAAGATTTAATGTATAATCTGAAAGCTGAAGAAAATGCTTTTTGACACAGCATCAGGCCAGTAGAGGGCTCTCCAAGCCAGTGAGCAATGACAGAAATACCTGGAAGGAAGTGGAAAGGGGTGCGGTTATTAAAAATATTAGAAAAACTTTAAAGTATATGAAGAACTAAAATATAGTTGAAAAATTTGATTTTAAAAGATTAGAGCAGTTATATAAAGGGGATACCTGAAGTAGTAAATGGATATGATAAATATATAAGATAAACTTTTATTAGATACAGAGAGCTCATTAAGTGTCAGTGGTTAGAAGAAACAACGAATGTGATGATAGAACATTGGTGGAGTAATTTTTACCTTGGATCTATGAACAACATTAATTTTAATGCACAGTGTTTTGTAAATGTACATTTTGGTGTTCATAGCTTGTTCATTTTAATTCCGTAACACGTTAAACAAAGAAAATTATACCTTTAATATTCTGTGTGTTCTAGGTTAAAGAAGATTTTGAAATAACATTTTTTTATGAATATATAGATGAAAAAAACATGTTCTTGAGAAGTAACTTCTATTTGCTTATTAAAAACTTTGACTAGCCTTTACAGTCCCAATGACCTGAGACATGGACATTACCAAGTCTCCTAGGTAGAAAATGAGTACTAGGTCTTTATCCTCAAATTCGAACCTTCTAGATGGTTTTAGGAATAGAATTCGTAGAACCAAAGAGTGATTTGTGCTCCTAATGCTTTATACCAAAATTCCAACCTGTGGTTAACATGACTTCATGGGGGGAAAAATGCGAAGGACTCCTTTTTCTTTCATTAAAGACTGAAGAAGAAGAAGCTCTTTTATTTCCATGTACAATACATGTGAACCTTGGTAAGACCAACTGAATAATATTTATTACACTTCATCGATGCACCATTCCTCCCCTTTTTTTCCATTTTTCCTACTTTTTTCATTTTTGTGTGTGTGTGTGTGTGTATATATATATATAGCTTTCTTTTTCCTATAGCTACTTGTTCCGCTACCAAGTCCTTAGGTTCTAATGAGCATTTTATAAATGAGTACCACCTTTACAAAGGAGCCCGTCCAACTAAAAACATGAACACTAATCTGTTAAATCCTGGGGCCACAAGAGTGAAGAACAGTTTCTGTCTTCATGGATCTTGAAGCCCACAGAGGGAGACAGTATATAGACATGTTTATTCATTTCCTCAAAAATTATTTGTATTTACTATGGATAAGGCACCTTTTAGGCTCCAGTAATATAAATGTGAATGAAGTTGGTTTTTCCCTGAACGAGTGTGTAATCCAATGAGAAACACAGGTAAACAACAGACAATTGTAGTATTTTGGAGGTTATACCCCAAAAGAGATGTATATGAAGTGTTATGGGAATCTCTACTAAGAACATATAAACCAGTCTTCCAAAACTTGGTTCAGGCTTCCTATTGGAAGGACTATCTGACCTGAGAACCTGATGAGCTAAAAGAATTTAGCCAGGTGGAGGAGATGGAGGAATAGTGTTGGAGGTATAGTTTACTACATGTGAGGAGGCCCAAAGGCAAGAGGAACTAAATGATATGAAATGATTCTGTATGGATGAAGTGCAAAACGAGAAGGGTAAGAAATGTGGTTGAAGACATAATCAGGGATCAACTTGTTTCAAAGACCTGAGAAGGAAAGGTTCCATCTGACCAGCTTTTAGGGACTGTTTCAGTTAATACCTGCTGTACTAGCATAATTATTATTATTATTATTATTTTAAAAGTATTTTTTAAAAAGATTTTATTTATTTACTTTTAGACAGAGAGGAAGGGAGAGAAACATCAGTGTGTGGTTGCCTCTCATGCACCCCTCTTCTGGGGACCTGGCCTGCAACCCAGACATGTGCCCTGATGGGGAATGGAACCAGCGACCCTTTGGTTTAGAGGCCCACGCTCAACCCACTGAGCTACACCAGCCAGGGCTAATTATTATTCTTTCACTCATCACAAAGTATCAGAGTTTGGTTACTCTGGTAGTGTAATAGAGACTGGATTTTTAAAATGGATGGTATCAGAGGCAAGCAGAGGCTATCTCAGTAGTCTAAAAGCTAAATGACCTCTGAATTTTAAAACAGTGTTGGTTAGAATGAGAGAAACATCTGTGCACCCAAACACGGGCTAGCTTTAGTGACTTTAATGTGACGAGAGAGAATGATTGCCTCATTTCAGGCAGGGAACATTGATTGGTTTATATTGTTAATGAACAAGATAGAGGCTGCTACATCAGGAATAGATTTAGAGCAGAAAAATTAGTTAAGCCTATATATTGTAAAATTGGGGCTGAGATAAATGAGGCTGATGCTCGTGGGTGGGGGTCTGAGGGAGCAATTAGAGATTTAGGAGTTGTCCGTCTCCCTGAGTGGTTGTTGAACTTGAGCATGACCAGATGTTGCAGGGAATGA